TGCTTCATGGCAAACCGTGGATGTCGCCGTTTCGTGCTCCCCCCGCGCTTCATCCTGCTTGCGAAGAGGCGCGGTTTTGTAAAGCGTGTTGCACGGTTAAAGTGCAAAGGATAAAAGGAAAGTTTGGAGTCTTTGGCTTGTCACTTGTAGGAACGTGAAAGAAGTTTGTTGCACTGATGTAGAGTCAAGGGAGGAGACCTGAATTTGCAAGAGTACCGAGCTGGAAGGTTGGTTGCTGAATGAGACAAGGGCAGTTTCTGATGGAAACAAAGCATATGCTGTATAAATGACATGCCTGGTGAACATGGAGTGAGGTGTACGTAAGACAAGGGGTTATGATGTTCCCTTGGTTCTTTAATGCATGTATTATGTAGATGAGCCCTTGAGAACACAGTAGAGGTCTCTTAATTGGGGAATGTGATCGTGCACATTCTGTTCTATGCAGACGATAAGAACTTGAGTGATTTGCAGAGGATGTCTGATAGGATGTATGATGCAGTGCTCTGTATGTATATGAAAATTGGTGTATCAAAGACCAGGATAGGTCTGTTCCACAGGGGATGTGGATTGAACGATTGCAATTGTTGCATACATGGTGTGAAACTAAAGTAGATGTGATAGATTGTTTACTAAAGAGGGTAATATAAATGGAGACTTTTTAAGACATACAGATGTTGATAGAAAAGCAATAACATGCAGTTTGTTGGGAGCAAAGAATGCCTGTTGAAAGAAATAAAACAACCCCCCCCTTGCATATTAAAGTGGGTACTTTATTGCATGAAAGTGAGAGCTGGCATGTTAGGAGAATCATAAAAGTAAACTGAACGTATGGGAATTGGGTGCTTAAGTGTGTGCAGTAAAACACTTAAGAGATTTCAGAAGAGGCAAACATGGTGCTTTTCAGTGTGATGCCTTCCAAGGAAAAAAGTCAGCTAAGCAGTTGCATTATCTCCAGCTAAATGTTGCCAGGACTAAAGAGAAGAACTACAAAAAAAGGAGACTAGCATAGGCAGATTTAATAAATTCCATCTGCAGTGCCCAGAGTGGGGCTATATTAACTCAACAGTCAACTTCACTCTGTACCCTCTTTGAGATATGACTCCCTTGATAAAACCATCTGACAGCCTCAGGTGGATGGTCTCACTCTAAATACCCTGGTCAGTCTCTCTGAGGGGGGGGGGTCTTGCTTTCCAGTCTTCTGATCATCTTTGGTGCCCAGTAGGTTCAGGGAAGGATGGAGAAAGTGCAACTCTGATTGTAAAACAGCCATGGAGCCTTTATGGCAGCAGAACTGCCTTGTTCTACTGTGAGATAACAATAGTTTTCAGCAGTTTTTCTCTTTGGACACCTGTAAGAATGCAGTTTGAAAGTGGTTGCATGTGTTTTTAGTTGATATTTGTAGTGCCAAAGTAGGGTATTGAAAGTCAGCCCAAGTAATAATGAAACAAGAGAGAGAGACGCTCTGTGAACAGTCATTGCCTGCACTTATATGGTAGTGTGATGAGGTGACTTGTAATGTGAGCAGAGATTTATTTTGTCCTGTGGATTCAGATGAAGCAAATAAGGCATTTCCCAGCATGAATTGCACCACTTGTGATTTAGGTCCATGCCCTTCCTAGCTTCTTTGGATGGCCAAGGGGAGTGTTTAGCTGGAACGGGGAGTTATTAGCTGGAACGGTTAATGCCTCTTTGGTGGACGAGGTCAAGTTGATTGCCATGAAGGAGTCATTGTGCAGCCTCTGCTGAAGAGGCTTCTTTGAATTCAGCTATTTTGGATACTTGTCCCCCTGCTTCCAACCTCCCCGTTTTAGGGAAGTTTGTTGGGAAGATGGTGGAAGTTCAATTACAGAAAGCCAGTTCTGTAGAAGAAGAGATGATCTGAATCCTTTTAAGTCACAGTTTTAAGTCAGCATTCGGGCCTGGGCCTGGAACAGAAATGGCACTGGTTGGTTCTTGTGGATGACCTTTGTTGGGAACCGGTGGGAGAAGTGCACACCTCCTGGTCCTACTCCATTGCCATTGTTCAATGCCATTGACTATTGTATCGTTTTAGACTACTGCAAGGGTTAGGGGCACTATATTCAATAGCTCCATTCTTTCCAAAGCAAGTGGTATCAATCATTTTAGGGGGAGGGGAATCAGACTGGGGAATTCCCCCTTGTAGGGTTTTGCAGGCTTAGTTCTCATACTTTCTCTTTAACATCCACATGAAACTGCTGGGAGAGATCTGGTTCAGGATGAGATATCATCAGTACTCTAATGACATCCTAGAATCATAGAATTATAGGGTTGGAAGGGATGGTGAAGATTATTTGGACCAGCCCTCTGCAATGTTCAGGAAAACCAATTGCACCATCTGTATCCAGCCTCTTCTTAAAAACCTTTAGAGACGGGGAACCCAAACCTCCATAGGTTCCATTGTTGTGTACATCTTACCATCAGAAAGTTTTCCATTTAAACAAAATCTAGGTGGCTATAATTTACACCCATTATTTCAGGTCCTTTTTTTTTTTTTCCTTTGTGGACATGGACAATAGTTCTTGACCACCCTCCTTGTAGCTTCTCTTTATGTACCTGTAATGGAATGTGAGAATGACCTTGGAAGATGGGGGAAAGAGATGCTACCTAGGGAACAATCAGATAAAAGGGGGAGGATCCCACAACTGAGTAATAGGCAGAGAAAGAAACTTAGAAAGGACCTGCCCTTGTTAGTACATCCCCTATGAAGGCTAACTGAAGGAACTTGGGATGTTCAGGTGGTAAATATTCAGGTGGTAAACTAGATCAGATGGTAAAAAGGGATGGTGGGAGATTTGTACTTTCAGACTTGCAAGAGTGATGTCAACCTTCCCAGGTAAACCTGTGATGGAATGTATCTACAAAGAAGAGGGTGATGTTGGGTGGGGTGTGTGTGGAAGCAGAGAGCAAGGCTATCAGGAAGGAGAGGGTGCATTCCAGGAAGGGAAAGGAGACAAAAGACAACACAGTCCTCAGGAGGATCATGGGAAGCATAAGAGGTTCAGGATAGCCACTCCCTAGAATCTCCTAGGGTATGTCCACTAGTTGTGGTAGTACAGATTGAGTCTGGCAAGATTCTGTCTATAGGTGTAAGCAAATACAGGAACTTAACTCAACTGGACTGTTTCACCATTGTTATTGGGCTGGGCCTGATAAAACCAGACAGGAAACACGACCAGATGTGCTACTTCTACTTTATGGTTGGGCTACATTAACAGAATCTTGCAAGTCTGAAAATATAAATCTCCTGCTGTCCGTATTGACCGCCTGATCAGTTAGGGAGAGTCTTTTCTAAGTTTCTTTCTCTGCCCATTACTCATTGCGGGGTCCTCCCCCTTTTATCTGATCATTCCCTAGGCAGCATCTCTTCCCCCTGCTTTCAAGGTCACTCTCACGTTCTGTTACGGTACCTGAACATGGCTGTCATGTCTCCCTGCATCTTCTTTCCTTCAGACTGAACATCCCAAGTTCCTTCCGTTAGCCTTCATAGGGGATGCACTCTGATCCCACTCTTTATTGCCCTCCTCTGAACCCTCTTTAATCTGTCAATATTCTTCTGGATGTTTAGTGCCCAGAATGAGGTGTGATCTTACCAGTGCAAAACAGAGATAAATAATGACTTTCTGTATCTTTGATACAATATTGTTTCTGATACAGCCCATAACTAGGTTAGGCCTGTTTCACACTACTGACTTCAGCTTGTTGTCAGCGACTAGACCCAAGTTCATCTCAGATGCTTCCAAATCATGAACACCCCATATTTTATGTGTCTTCTACATTCCTTTCTCCCTAATGTAATGCCTTATATTTCTCCCTGTTAAAGTACATCTTGTTCCTCTCAGTTCAGCCTTCCAACCTGTCCAGTTTAGACTGCAATCTCTTTCTGTTGTCCTGAGTATTGTCCAAACCTCTCAATCTTGTGTCATCAAAAAAATTTATAAGCAGCCCATCAGTCCCGTCATCTAGATCAGTAATAGCAAAGCTCCAACCACAAGACCGATTTCTGCAAAACCCCACTGGTTGCTGATGTCCAGCTTGACATGGGACTGTAAGTGGTGACCCTCTAAGTGCAATAGGGTGCTGATACTGTCATTGTAATTTTGTTTTCATTTGTGTGTGTGTGTGTGGGGGTTCATTTATTCAAATCTTAACTATTATATTTATTTGATATCAATCACTTTTAGCTGAGGAGAACTAGTATAAACCTTTACATAGTAAAATAAGGCAAGATAATGAAAGCAGGAAAGACTGAGTCAAAGTGGAAAAAAGTGTTTCAAAAAAGTATTTTAACAAATACGACTGTTTATTGGCACTTAATGAACATTTTTGGCTTTTTTTGTAGATCAGGGAGTGTATTATCACACTGGTCAGAAATCGTTGAATTTGTGAAGCAGCTGACAGACAGATTTGTGAGGTAAGTTGTTGAACAAGTTAGAAAGAAATATATTTCCTTTTTCTGATAACTGTTTCCTCTGATTTCCTGTTTTCTTTGAAGACTGTGAATAGTTCCATATATTCAAATAGTTTCATAGATTCCAGATGGATTTGAAATGTGTAAAAATCATGCCTTTTGTAGTTGTTCACATATTTCCTGAATCTAGCTTGTTCTTAACAGCATAAGAATATATGTTTTGTTGGTCAAATTGAAAAAAAAGTTGGAATATGTTTACAGTAGGTCAGATTTCCAGTGCTTACTATGAATATCTCTCGAGATGGTTATTAAGAGTGGATCCTGCATTTTAGAATACCAAATATAATTTTAACCAAAATGACTACCACTGAGCAAAAAAATGGAGGGGCAGGATATTCATTTATGAAGAGATTAAAACATATATAAAATCAAACAATATTTATCAAAATATAAAAACAAGGTGTCTTAAATCTGTCCTGTAGTGAAATATATTCATATGAAAAAGGAGAACAAAAACAGGAAATACATTTTCTGTTCCTTAGTTTTGCTTCCCTATTTTTCTTGTCTTTTTTATTATACAAACACAGCTTTTCATACCTTTGCAGGTAAAGCAGCAGTCTGAAACCAAGCATTTATTGCCTTCTATAGTTCTCTTAGTTTTTTGCATGGATGTCGCACAAACGTATGAACATCTGCCTTATGGCAACATGATTTTGATCGTTCTACTACTGGGACAGAAATAGATCTTTTTTAAAGTATAGACTATGCTTAGATCTAGTTAAACACAGAGCCCTTTGAGTCCTGGAAGTAACTGCATAGACATTATTGCACTTAATTGTTTCCTATGGAAAATGCAGTACAGTAGGCAATTGTGTTTGACCAGCTGGTGCAAAATAACGTGGAATAGGAAGCTTAATTGCAATGCATCCATCTTCATAGGGCCGAAAACAAGGCCTCTATAGAATAAGGAAAGAAATCTGATTGAATTGTCCTTCCTGGACACAATGTAAGTTAATAAAAAGAGTAATTGGTAGAGGCCACGCGATCTGGAATTTCAGTTACTGGCAACAGAGATGTTTGTTCCTTCCAAAAATGATCTGATGGCCCATTCCTAAGGCCTTTGGTCACTCTTTCAACAAGAAATCCACCCTTTTATTTCTGAACTGACTGAAACAAAAATGATTTGGTGGAATCATTTGTTGAACCGTTCTTAACAGTTTTTAAGGATTTTGTCCTTGTTCCCCCACTCCTTTTCTTTTTTAAGGGAAAGGGGCCTGTTTAATGGTTGACGAATGCTGTTCAGTGCAACATATGGTGAAAATGCAGAGCAGGTCTTATTGTAAGAATTAGATCACTCCAGTATGAGTTGTACATCTGTTCTCCATTTTTCTGGGCCTAAGCGATGAAGGCCTGAAGTTACAACATAACACACGTTCCATTTCTTTTTAAGAGCTTCAAACTCGTAGTGCGAATATTTTAAAAATAATGGGAACGTATGCTTATGAATTTCCCCCAGAATGGAATTCCTTGATGATGGGATTAAAAAAAAACAAACATACAAAAAGGAAGTGAAGAGTAAAAAAGTATTTGGCAATGAAGTTGCCTATCTTCAGACAAAAAAAATCTACTGAGGAAAATGCTTGAGATAGCTCCCTCAGGTTAAATGAGAACTAGTGACACAAAACTGCTCAATTTGTGTTATAACAGTCTCTCCTCCATTTTTCACGACAACTTGTGAGACAGATGCTTGATGTGGTCTTCCTGGACCTTCCCGTGCTGTAACATGACACTACAAGTTGTAGGGCATATGCTTTGTACAAAGACAGCTCTGAGTTGATCCTTCATCATTTTTAGGAAAAAATATCTCTGCTGCTAGAGGCTGAATGGGTTCATTTGTGTTTTACTTAAGGAGAAACAATATAAAATAAGGTGAACAGGGTTTCAAGAGAGCAAAGAGCAGTAATGTTCCTCAGCTTTTCAGAACCATGAACAACTCTGTTCTGGTCCTTTTTGTAAGGATTGGAGCATGTCCAGTTTGGCCTTTGAATGGAAAACACATTCATTCCCAAATTTTTGTCTCCAGAGGTGCAGATCATTTCCTACTAATAGACAGCAGGTACAAAAGCAATTTTAGGACCTTGATTGGTCCTGTAATTCCTCCTTTTGGCCAAAACTGAATAGAGACAACACAGTGGACTAAACTCCTAATAGGCAAAGCAACAGCTTGATTACTGATATGAGAACTACGGTTTGTTTGATCCAAAATGTGAACTGAGCAAAGTCAGGAAGTCCCAATATGAGTATCTGTAGCTCAGGGTTGAACTGTGGAGTTCCTGGTGCTCTATGATCTTGGTTGCTTGTTTACAGACGTTTCATTACCCAACTAGATAACATCATCAATACCCTAGTTGGGTAATGAAATGTCTGCAAGCAAACAACCACGCTCAGAGAGCACCAAGAATTCCATAAAATCAAGCAGGATTTTTTTCTGGCCTTCAGGATAAAGCTATTAGCTGAAATATAGAATTGCTGAATAACATGTTATATGCTGGACACTAGACTGTTCTCTGTGTTGCTGTATTAATTTGACATATGTTGTAAAGGTCAAATTAAGGAGTTCTTGCAATGTTCTGGTTTATATGGCTGAGGTTAATGTTTTAATTTCTCTTTCTCATCTTTAAAAGCCCCCGGATGAGAATATCCTTCATAGTGTTTTCCATGCAAGCAACTGTAATTCTACCAATAACACAAGATAGGTAAGTAAGTCTCAGAATTGTTCATTTTTAAATACTAGCAAATACTTTTTTTTTTAAAGCAACAGAACTATGAACATTTTCAGTGATTAAAATTATACAGTTTATAATAAATGGGTAAGTAGCATTAGGCTTAATTCAGGGCCTCTTGGTGATTATCTGTTTCCTTGTCATATGAATGGTCGTGTTGGATCGCTATCTTGAATACCTCCTCAAGGACATTGAAAGGCAGATATGTGTCCTCAGGCCCATAATCTTATATACTCCATGCTGCCCATTCTAAAACTTTCACTGTAACTCCCAGAGAACTCCAAAAGTTGTTACTCAGATCAGCATTCTTAAAGTACGCAACTACAAATTTATCACATACCGTATACACTTGCGTATAAGCCCATCCATGGATAAGCCGACCCTCAATTTTTTAACCAAAATATAATGAAAAATGTGCCACTCATGGACAAGCCAACCTGCAATTTTCATGGTATTTGGGTTAAAAATTTGAGGGTCTGCTTATCCGCAGATGAGCTTATATGGGAAATATGGGTACTTCTAAAAAGTATTACCGTATATACTTGTGGATAATCCCATCTGCAGATAAACTGAACCTGATTTTTTTGGGTGCATTTTGACACCTAAAATTCTCAGCTTATCTGTGAGTATACATGGTACTAAGAGGGGAGTAATCCTATGGAGCCTATTTAGTTTTGATTCAGTGGACAGTAAAGTGTTGAGCTCTAATTTAATTTTTTCCCTTGGCCCCATCCATTACTTTTTGGAGATAGCCTCTGATGTGCCACTCAAGCATCAAGTACAGCCTTTGGCCCAGACAAAATGGGCACCTCCTGGCTCCAGAGCGTGAGTCTGCTCTCTCACTTCACTCTAGTGGCCAGCCCCTGTTATATAGGAAAATGTGGGGGAGCATTCTGAAAACTCTGATATGCCATCTAGATGCTGAGTCACGTAGTAGCATTAACTGGATATGCTAATATATTAATTGGGAGTAAGCCATGTGCCTTCTCAAATTTGACGGCAAGAATGAAGGACTTGGCGAAATGAGTATTAAGTAGGGTTTGGAAGGAAGACAACCAGCATGATAACTGTGAGGGATAAAAATGTGCCTTTTCTGAAAGACAGAGGTGTGAGATTCTTCTGCATATGTTCCACTGAGATGTTCTATTTGTAACTGTTAAGCACAGACAGCCTCCAAGTTGCCATCAACGGATTGTCTTCCCCTGCTTTTGTCTTGAATTCTAAGTGGGTTTCACAGGCCTTCCAGATTTGCTTGGTTATTTCAAGGTAGCCAACTCTTCAGAACTTGTGTTTTAGCTTTTGTGGTAACAAACCATCACCTATTACACTGTGCAAATGTCTGCTTTTATTGTTAAATATGCTTTGATGTGTACACAATTCATCCCAGCGATGGAGAAAGGATTCAGAATTGAGGTTTTGGGCAAAAGGCTTTGAGATCAGGAAAGAGTCAAGAAACGGGTATCCACTGTGTGGAAACAAGGGTGGGCCATGAAGAAATATGCATTGTGACATCCTGATAGAAGCTCTATGCCGTCCGTACTGGTGCCCAGGGTCAAGACATTTTAGCACATGTTTCATCACTTTTTTTCGCCATTGCAGTTTGTACTGGATGCCCGCAAAATGAAAGAAATAGTATATTTTATTTTACAGTGTTCGGCCAAACCTGTATGTATACTTTCAAGGAAAGAAAGAGTCTGGTTCGTATCATGGGGGAAGCTTAACTCTGTGCCCAACTGCAACCTTGGAGCAATTAAGCCAATTTGTGGCATTGCATACGGGTTCGGGATGGTCAGCTGATGAGTGTGGGTAGCTGATCATTGCCATTTGGGGGCTGAAAGACTGAATGCCTTTCGTTAGCTTTTGTATTCACGTTCCTTGGAGATATGGGTGTGGCCCAGAGGTGTATTGATATTCTTTGGCGTTGGTCTTACCACCGCAAATAGCCTTGGAAGTCCCATATATTTGTGTCCTTGCATAGTCCAAGAACAAGGCCACAATGAGGAATGCAAAAAAGGATTCTGACGAACATATTGTTCATCATGCTATGCTCAACTGTAACAACATCTGTAAAGATCTGGCTTTTAAAGAAACCTGCAGTTGGAACTGATTTGTGCAATGAGCCGCCCCCTGCCTTTTTTATTTATTTATTTATTTAAATGTCAACTTTATATCACTGCCCAACTCCCCCACAAGGAGGGACTCTGGGTGGTTCACAACAAAACAATTTAAAATCAGTAAAAACATAAATAATACAAATATAAAATGCAGTTATTAGATACAATGAAGTCCAAGAGATGGTGATAT